GACGGCTGGCTAACCACCCCTACAAATCAGCGGTTTGTAGCCACCCTTCCATAGGGGCGGCTGGCGAAACCGTCCCGACAAATGCCCATGAGTTGAATAGCTAGAACCATCTGAGAAATAGTGTAGTTCTAGTTCCTAAGTGTTGGCTTTCTCAGACCATTCGCCAGAACAGATGGACTGTGTGCATGACCATTTCAAAAAGTGCTAGCTTTGGAAATCTTGCGAGTGAATTGTTGAAACAATCTTGTGTTTCTATCAGACAGTTCATGGGTGCATGACTTAGTTTGTGCTGAGAACATCTAATTGTATGAACTGACGGACCATTTGGGTGTGTGAGTAGACCATACCAGCATGCAAGTCCAAACTTGGTAGCCTCGGGTTTTTGCAGAAAATGTTCCTTTGTTCCTTAGACCGTTCGGGTGATCTCCAGTATTGTACAAGAAAAACATGTGTTTGTGAAGGAACTCTAAGGTCCAGGTGCTCCCGGCCCGCAGACCGTTCAGGTGTGACTCTTAGACTGTCCGTGAGAACAATGTTCATGTGTTGTTGGGACTTCAAAAATGAAATCCACACCTAGGGTTCTTACATCAATTGTGATACATTGCATCTATTAATCAAAATTTCTATTGGGTGGATCTCTAGGTGATAAAGCAAATAATTGCTCAATTCTGGGTTTTTTAAGTGATTGTGCACGTGTGAGACCTCGCCAAGAATGTGAAGAAGGTGCCGCCGATTTTTTATTGTTTTTTAGCCTTTTTTTTAAAAACAAATCTCATTTACACCCCTAGAGACTTATTTCCATCTTTGGACCACAGTGGTCGGAGCCATGGCTTGTGGTGCCAAGCTAACATGTTTCGGCACCGTAGGCCATAGAACAGAGCCTTGAGCCCTGCTGTGGCGTTGTGGCAACGTGGCGCTGACGAGGCAGAACCTCAGTGACATGGATCATTGCGCCGAGCTCGGCACCACAGATCTTGTCATTGATCTCGGCACCATAGATATTGGTGCTGAGCTGGGTGCCATGATCCATGGCATCGAGCTTTGAATCTTAATGTCATGGACAGCCTCCTGCCAGAGCCAACACTCATTTGTGCCCTCACCTCCCCCTCTCTCTATCCCCAATCCATCCTACCCACTCCATTCTCTTCATTCGAACTTTGAAACATAGATTTGATCCGTAGATCTTCAATAGCAAGGTATCCTCCCTCACCTCCTCAATTTATATGCGTTGATTTGGTCTATGTAGTGTGTATTTTGCAAAGCCTAGTTTCATTAGACTTCATGATTTTTGAATGTAATGTACAATATGGATTCGATATTTTGATATAGAAATGGCTGTTATGAACATTTAGTGTTGTGGATTAGGTTCGAGTACAAGATTATGCACTAATTTTCAATTGTAATTGTAAGTAATAAATGTTTCAATTCATTTGGTCTAAGGTATGACCATTCAATTTAAGTGCTTGCAGATGTGGAAAAAGTGGAAAAAGAGAAGTCACCACACAGAGCTTTATGATGATGAGTCTTGCAAGGATGCATCGGTCCCTCCTAAACTACCCGTGCCTTTGTGTGATGGTAAGCTAGCGGGGGGTGGATCAATCTTCGCATGAGGATACTGCTTGACGGGCCTACTACACATGCAATGATTATCGTGTAAGCGAATGTGGTCGTATCTTATTAATTTGGTCTTGATGTTTATCCTATCACGTGCTATTCACTGTGGTATTAACAATCATAGGATTGACAGAGGTGCTATTTCTTCTAGTGGATTGATGGCCCTGAGATGGTTGACGTCAGCTTCCTTCATTTTAATTACTAAGTTGTGGGGCACGGTTCCATACATGGGGTTCAAGTGTTGGGTTCCACCACCCCTAAACTATCACACTCAATTTTAAGAACAAAAGAGGATGTATAAAAGTCTTATGTGTACCCTAGGAACGGTCGCACACATAAGTGGACAAATTGTGAATGGTACCAACACAATGTTTATTACATAGCGAATAAATATTCAACACATACACTACAAGAGATTAGACCTTCTATGACAATTTTCATATGACAAAGCACTTTTTAGTCACAGAAACGATGCGTTTATGACAATTTTTCTTTGGATGACAAGTGTTTGTGACTAAGTTGTGATTTAGTCATAAACAACCGTCACCATGTGCCTTTCCCAATCTTTGTGACAATAGTTCATGACGAAAGTGATGGAATGTGATGGTCATAAATTAAAAACCATTTTCCCCTATCTTTATGACTATAGTTCATGACGAAATTGATGGAATGTGATGGTCATAAATTAAAAATCATTAAAAAAACACTTTGGCACAGCCACGCCTAGGTGGACTGGTGGGATCCACATGTAAGGTAAATATTAACTATAAAACAATTAAAAATTGGGAGCTTCCCGTAGTGAGGAAGGATCGAACCCGCGCCCTTTGACATCCCAGGCAATGGAAGAACAACTGAGATACTCGCCTGTTGTTGCATATGCTCTGATTCTTTTTTATTTATACATTTTCCATCCCTGGGAGACACTATTCCTTAGCAGGAACCCGACGCGCATCTGGCTATGGCACAGTTTTCCTCTATCGTCCTTCCGTAGTAGGAGCTCGACGCCGCCGCCCTTTGCCCAACGCCGCCTGCTGGTGGCCGCCGCCTCCATCAGGATCCCACGCCGCTAGCCGACCCCGCCCCAGGAGGTCGACGCCAGCTGGCTGTAGCTCCAGGCCACCAGGCTTCACGGGCACAACCGCTGGGGACGCCCCCAGTAGCCCGGTGCCACCGGCATTAGCCCGACCCCGCCGGCAGTAGCCCAACGCCACCGATAGGAGGCTGCTGCCGGAGGCAGGACCCCGACGCCGACGGCATTAGCCCGACCCCACCTCCAGGAGCTCGACGCCTGGCTGTAGCTCAAGGCCGCCGGGCTTCACGGGCTGAAACGCTAGGAACGCCCCCAGGAGCTCCAGCCTGGGATCACTGCCACCCGCGGGTGAGGTCGACCAGAGACTGCCCCATCCCCTTCGATTAGGAAGGAAAGGTACATATGAGATGAACTTATGTTTTGGTTTTATATTTCGAATTGAAACCATAGGTTATAACTGAAACCAGAGATTTGAAGTGATAGAAATAGGCAAATAGCAGTCTGGGCAATGATCACTTGTTGATTCCTTGCTTGTCTTATTTCAATGTGTCACAGATGGGCAAAACTTGGATGAATTGTAGGTTGTTTAGCAAGGAGCATCTGGATGGGGTCACTGAGTTCATGGACTTTGTTTCAGAAAATTTGAGTGGCAATCAGGAGATATTATGCCCATGTCGTAAGTGTTTGAATCGGTTAAATCGACATAAAGGAGATGTGGAGGATCACTTACTTATTTATGGGATGTCTAGCACATACACTAGGTGGATACATCATGGAGAACCATTGTGCATGATAACTGAAAATGTTGAGCATTTGAATGAAGATATTGGCTGCAATGTTGAGCATTTGAATGAAGATGTCCCAGAAGATGAGCCTCAAGATGACCCAGAAGATGATCAAATATACCGTATGGTATAGGATATGTACCCGGATCAAAATCATGGACCAAGAACGAAGTCAAAGTTTGCCACCATATTAGAAGAGATGAAACAGGTGCTACACCCCGGTGGTCCCTATACTAGGTTTTCTTTTGTGGTGAAGTTGCTCCACATCGAGTCATTTTACAGAATCAGCAATGTTGGATTCAGTGCTTTTTTAGACTTGTTAAGTTCGGCATTTCCAGATTGTTCTATCCCTGCATCCTATGCTGAAGCAAAGAATGTTATTCGTGCATTAGGACTTGGATATGAGTCAATACATGTGTGTCCGAATAACTGTGTTCTTTTCTGAAAGGAGTTGGCTAAAAAGGATGCATGCCCAATATGTGGTGCTTCAAGATGGAAGGATGGAGATGGCCGAAGGCAGATTCCAGAAAAGGTTCTAAGGCATTTTCCTTTGATTCCAAGGTTGAAGAGGATGTTTGGATCCAAAGAACTTTCAGCTCAGGCACAATGGCACAAGTTGAAGAGGAAAGCAGTGGACAATGAGCTTAGCCATCCTACTGATGGTGAGGCATGGAAGGATTTTGATAGGAAGTATGAATGGTTTGCAAATGATGCACGAAATGTCCGACTTGGCCTCGCTACCGATGGGTTTAATCCATTCGGGAAGATGAGCTCCTCATATAGCATGTGGCCAGTATTTCTTATCCCTTACAACTTTCCTCCATGGCAATGTATGGAGCAATCCAACTTCATGATGTGCCTACTTATTCCTGGTCCGGCATGCCCAGGAAAGGATATGGATCTCTTCCTGCAGCCACTGGTTGAAGAATTGTTAAATCTCTAGAGTGGTGTCCCTACTTTGGATGCATTGACCGGAAAAGAATTTGATCTTCATGCTGTAGTCATCTGGTGCATTCATGATTATCCGGCATTGAGCACACTTTCAGGTAGAATAACTAGAGGTTACTATGCTTGTGTTCGCTGTGATAAAAATCCTTGCTCCAAAAGACTTAGGAACAAGATTTGCTACATTGGCCATCGCCGTTTTCTTCCAGCGGACCATATTTGGAGGAGAAAGAAAGATTTTGATGGTCAGACTGAAGAACGTGCACAGCCTGAAGAATTTACTCAGGATGAGTTGATGCAGCAATTGGCAAGGGTGGAACATGTAAAACCTGGGGACCATCCTAATAACAAAAAGAGAAAGAGGGTAGAAGAAGGTCAATGCTGGAGGCGCATGTTGACTCTGCGGGATTTACCATATTGGTCTACTTTGAAGCTACGTCACAATCTTGATGTTATGCACATCGAGAAAAATATGTGAGGCCCTTCTCGGTACATTTCTTGACATCGTAGGCAAGTCAAAGGACTCTATTACTGCGAGGCTCGATTTAGAAGATATGGGCATAAGGAAAAATTTACAATTGAAGGATGATGGTAATTCATACTCTGTTCCACACGCTCCATATAAGATGACTAAAGCCCAGATAAGTGCTTTCTATGCTTTCATAAAGAATGTCAAATTCCCAGATGGATATGCCTCCAACTTAGCAAGGTGTGTTAGTGTTGATGAATGCAAATTACAAGCATTGAAAACTCACGATTGTCATATCCTTCTACAAAGGATATTACCAGCCGGTCTCCGAGGAATCATGCATAAGGAAATATATGAAGCAATTGCTGAATTAGGTAACTTTTTCAAGCAAATTTGTGCGAAGAAATTGAAGTTAGATGTCTTGAACAGGATGAGAGGTGAAATCCCAATAATATTGTGCAAGCTTGAGAAAATTTTCCCGCCTGCCTTTTTTGATGTGATGGTGCACTTGTCCATTCATTTAATCGATGATGCTATCCTAAGAGGTCCAGTTCAATACGGATGGATGTACCCTGTAGAACGTAGGTTGTTGACCTTGAAACATTTTGTGAGGAACATGGCAAGGCCTGAGGGCTCCATTGCAGAGGCATATGTCGCAAATGAGTGCTTGAATGCTTGCTCAAGGTATTTTGATGATGTTGACACTAGGCACAATCGTGAGGGCAGGAACATAGAGCGTGTTCCTATGAGTACATGTGGTTTATCTATTTTCCAGCATGGAGCAAATCTGTTGGGGGCACCGAGGCTTACATATGATGAGAAGGATTATGACAGGATGGTTTGGTATGTCCTCAACAATACTACGGAGGTCGAGCCATTTATAGAGTATGTCCTTCAATGCAAGCAACATAATGTTTTAATTTGTCTATCATATAAAATTTTAGCTCTCACATTGGAATTGTGCACCTGTTTGCAGGATTTACAGGAATGAGTTAGAGACTGCTGGCAATCGTGATGTTGGGGGGAACCTTGCTAAGGAATTTCCAGGATGGTTTAGGAAACATGTGAGTAATTATTTTCAGTTTAGGAAACCTTGCTAATATATATTTTTTTTACTGCAGCTTGCTACCCGAAGGTTTGTGAATGGAGAACAAATCAATGAAGAACTATATGCATTGGCAAGTCTACCAGATCTTAGACTTCGTATATTTTCAGGATGTATTGTTGATGGTGTCCGATATCACACCGTGGACCGTGAGAGCAGTAGAAGAACACAGAATAGTGGAGTCATGGTTGAGGGGTCACATAATGGAGAAGATATAGACTTTTATGGTCAGCTGAAAGAAGTAATAGAGTTGCAGTACAACTCTGACACCAACAGTCATGGCAAGAAGTCTAGGATGAAGAATGATGGATATTTCAAAAGCATCAGCCATGGCAGTTGTTGGTACAAGGATGATGCTCTCATCCTTGCCACACAGGCAACAAAGGTTTTCTACTTGGATGATAACAAGCATGGTGAACCCTGGAAAGTTGTTCAAAAATTTTCGCATCGGCACTTGTGGAATGTGAATGAAGTGGAAAATGATGACAAGCAAGAGGGAGGGATTGATCTGACATACCAAGATGATGAGCAGGAAATATCTGAAGTTGAAGCTCATGAAGGATCTTCGGTCGACGAACAGCCAGTCAACGAAGAAGACGGTATCAGTGTAGAGGCATCCCTAGTTGATTAGATTTGTAGGCAACGGGAATTGGAAGTTGAAGACGACCATGAAATGTACAATGATGTTGATGATACCTTAGGGCAGTATGATAGTGAAAATGAAGGTACAATTATGATCCCTGATGATGATGGTGAGTATAGTGATGTCGAGTAATTGAGATCTGTGAATCTCAGTTGTTAGTTTTTCATGTGTGCAATCTCAGTTGTGCAATTGTTCCGGTTTGCAAAGCTAGCAATTGTTAGTTTTTCATTTTCAGTTTCTTGTCTTCAGCTTCAATTCAGTATGTTCCTCCTGCAATTCAGCTCATCTTGTCGATGTTTAGTATGTACGACATGATGATTTTTGGAAATTTTCATCCCAGAGACCTGCTGTCCATATTGGCATGTGAACTGGTTGTCGATGTTCTAATGTTTCCCTCTGCAGTTCTGTGGTAGCCTTAGTTGGTTGGTCCTGGGTTCGACCCTGCCCAGGAGCAATTTTTTTCCTTTTTTTTTGTTTCTCAACTACCAAATTCAAATTTATCCAGAAAATTTATAAAAACATTTGATATTTCAAAAGCTTTAATCAAAATCTATCTAGGATTAATGTATATTATTCTAAAATCCAAATGTATGAATAATATCATGAATACTATCATGTGGTGCATGTGAACGAGCAAGATTCAAACTCAAACAAGTTAGTAGTCACATATGGATCCACCTTGTTCTTTGACCCCTTATAACGTTTTGGATTCATCTAAAGAACTCTTTGCATATAAGGCAACAACGCGATGGAACAAGCGACCCATGGTGATGAGTTGGGCCATTAGCGATTATTCAACAAGCGACCCATGGAGATGAGTTGGGCCATTAGCGATTATTCAACAAGGGACCTGTGGTATATATAGTACAATAAACATGAATGTGTATGTGGCATTCACCTATGTAGAGTACAAACATCTATATACTATGAGTTGAAGTCTATGAAGTCATCATCCACACTACACCCATACGACATTTCACCGATAGTATAGGAACATCGGATAATAAGTTTACTAATAAACACTGATACGTGTTCGTACTAAACTTATCTGATGTTCTACTATCGGTGAAATGTGTGTGGAGACATGCATACATAATCTTAACATGTATTAGGCAAGCACGCTAATGTCACAAAGACACGTATTAAGAAACTGAAACAAGGGTACACGACCATGGAGGCGTAGCGTGCATGACCAAAGGGTATGATGTATTAGGACAACTCAGGGGATAAGAGGGGGTTATAGCCCATTATCACCTCTACTACCATGGAGTATATAACAACACACTATATTATACATAGGGATTAAGCACCAAGTTTTGTCACTGTCCCAATATATTATGCCTATTAAGCACCCACTAATGTCAACAAAGTAATATAATGCAATGTGAAAACAAAAATTATGGCATTCATTATTCATGATTAAATACTTATTGTAGAAATTTATTCTGCGTCTCAACAAGTACCGAATTTGTCTTCAATTTCAGACCACTTTATTTCCATCTTACAAAATTTTAAGCACCCGCAAATGTATGAATATTATCTCTAATAAATTATATATGTCCAACAAATAGTAGATATGAAAAATTAAAAGGGTTTCCCGCTAATGCGTGCGAGCCAAACCAGCCCAGCGCGCCACTGTTTTTTATGGATAAAGTCATTCCTGCCCCTACCAGCTATGCCGTTGCCTCAGACCAGGTGAGGGCATTTTTGCACAAAGCCAACCAGTACACCACATATATATATATACAAAGGTAACCCTAGAATCACTCCCCTTTCCCAAATTTCAGCTCACTCTCAACCGGCGGCCGCCACTCCCTCCTTCCTGTTGCCGCTCCGACGAGAAGGAAGATGCCACCGGGGAAGAAGACGGCTAGAACATCAATGGAGGTCCCAGGTACTTCTCGGATCTTCGTCCTTAGGGTTATGGTGGTACGGTTCTAGATAGGATCTTGAGCCGCGGATCTAGCTTGCGGTGAGGGAGGGTGGGACTGTGGGAGGATCGTGTGCGCCCCGTGTCCACCGGTTTCATTTTGGATTCGTGCGGTGCAGTCCCTGCCTACCTGTGTCCAGTCACCTCCCGGCTGGGTGAAGCGCAAACGGTGTCACCCAGCGCTCCCTTTCTTCTCCATCTACTCGGACACGGCGGAGGCCCGGTCCTTCGTCACCAACACTGACACCGCTTCGCTTTGCGCTCGCGCCGCTTGCGCTGGGACTCGGTGAGCTCGCGCTTCTGCTCAGCGAGGGCGAGGCGGCACGTGACGTCCAGCGCTGCTTCGCGCCCATGCCACGCCACGCCCTGCTTAGCCGCCGTGAGCAGGGTCGGACACCGACGGGCCCTTCTTCTTCGTAGGTCCGACATCTGGGGCCGCTTCATGCCCACGCCGCGTCGCACCCTGCTCAGCCGCCGCGAGTAGGGTCGGACACCGATGGGCCCTTCTTCTCCGCAGGTCCACGAGCCCTTCTTCTTCGTGAGCAGGTCCGACATCCGGGGCCGCTTCGCGCCCACACCGCGTCACGCCCTGCTCAGCCGCCGTGAGCAGGTCCGAAGTCGGCAGGCCCTTCTTCTCTGCCGGTTCGCAAGCCCTTCTTCTCCGCAAGCAGCCACTGATTGCATCGGGGTCCCAGTGTTGTCTGAAGTCAAAATGGTCTTGTCAAAATGGCTTCCATATCATCCTAGTAAGCATTGATCATCTTCATCTGATAGTACTTGCCTAACTCCCTTAAATTTCCTCTGTTTTACTCTGTGTTTGATCTGAAAGCTCGCAGCAGCCACTGATTCCATTTATCTGCCACTAGTACTCGCACTTTTGCTTATTTCATTCATTTACATTTATCTGCCACTGATTGCAATGTATTTGCAGAACCCCCATTAACTGAGATTGAGAAGCAGATGGCTCAGAATATCATGAGGATGAATGAGAGGATGCAACAGTTGGGTGTCAAAAGACTAGCAGAAAACGTGCGCCAGTCGTCACGTCCAATGAAGAAAGCAAGTAGAAACAAGAAGTATCATGGCCAGCATAGTGACAGGACTGAACTTGAGGTACCAACTCTTCTACTCATGGAAATCTCAGTATTTGTATGTACCTTTGAAGTGGAAATCTCTTAGTATCTTATGGTGTCATGTCTCTATTTGCTTTGTAAGGCTGTGACACCGTCTGTTGCTGCAAGAGGAGCATCATCCAAGAGGGTGCTGGTACCTGACAATTTGGAACAAACAAGGTGCACTAGGCAGAGTGTCGCGAGAGAAAAAGAAGCAGCTTCCCTAAGCAAGCCTAGTTGAAGCATCAGAGGTGCCACCACCAGTACCAGATTCTACTTCAATCCAGAATGAGGAAGGGATGGATATTGCTGAAGAAGGCAAGTGCCTTCAACTATTTATTTCAATGTCAATTTATGTGATCTGATTCATTCATAATGGTCGCATGAATCTTATTATTGACAATAAGGTTTTTGAAATGTATTATTTAGGCACCCTAACTGCAAGTACACAAGTGGAGCAACGGGGAGTGAGTATGGGCATAGAACTGGATAGCATAACCAGAGGTTTAGGGACTAGGATACCAGTTATTATAAAGGAAGGGAAAAGAAGGCCAGATCGGCACCTATGCAAGCTACAAAGCTGGCTTCTGAGGGTGGGATCATACTCAGGCAGCATATACCCATATATACAAGTTGGAAAGAATACAAGAAGGACGAACACCAATTGGATAACTTCGTTGGCAAACTAGCTGTAAGACGTTGTTTGACTAGTTCAATCTATGCTAATTCTGTCTTTTGGATTTTTAAATACTAATGTTATGCTATTCAATGTATAGATAAAATTCAGCATGAATGGTGAAAAGGAGAATGTAACTTCTGCGTGTGCTGACATGCTAAAGGGTGGAACACGCCAAATGAGGTATAGGCTCAAGAAGCAATACTTCGATGGGGTACCGGCCAATCAAGTTAGGACTACATCACCATGTTCATCTATGACTGATGAACAATGGAGAAAATTGGTAGACATGTGGTCAGACCCAAAACACAAGGTATGGTTTATGCCAATATTAATTTCTGCGTGTGCTGACATGCCAAAGGGTGGAACATGCCAATATTAATCAAGTTAGGACTACATCACCATGTTCATCTATGACTATATGCAATTTTTATATTTGAGGATGATTCTAGGATTAGTTTTTTTTGTGCTATGGATCTGGGGATGATTTGGATACAAGCAGCTACTGTTGTTGTTTATTTATGGGGATTCAGTGCTATAGGTCACAACATAGTTTGTTGTCTACCTATGCTGTTACTGTTCCATTATTTGTTCTATTACTTATGCTACACAATTGTGTCATGTCTAGGAAAAATGTGCAAAGAGCAAACTGAACCGTGAAAAAGTTAAGCTTCAGCAATGTACTGGATCTCGGTCGTACATTGCAGCAGCCTACGTCGCGGTAAGAAAATAAACCTATCATGTCATGTGGTTGTATGACAGCATGTGTTGGAATATGTTTTTCTCTTACGTGTGTATTTTAACATGTGCATTGCTAATGTCATTCTATGTTTGTGAATATTTCAGAAGCAAGAAAAATACAAAGATACAGAGCCCACTGCAATTGATCTATTCAAGTTGACGCATTGCAGCAAAACTAAGGGTTTAAGTGATGATGCCAAGAAAGCTGCAGTAAGTACCTCTCCTTTTTTCTGTAGTACACTGCATAATTAACCATATAAATAAATTTAAACTTGACAAATCATTGTCTTGCTAGGATGATATGGAAGCCATTTTGACAAGACCAGTACAAGAAAGGGAGCAGAAAAAGACTTGCACAGAGATTGTTGCCCAAGTGTTGTCAAAGTCAAGCACATTCCTTCGTAATGTGGGACTTCAGCAGTCTGTTGCCGCTCCAAAATCTGTTACACCACAGATGCAAGAGCTACAAGCTCAATTGGAGGCTAAGAAGGAAGAATCTGCCGGACTTCGGCAAAAGCTCCAGAGATTGGAAGCCCAGGCAGAAGAATCAGAGGCAAAAGCTTAGAAACAAGCTGAGGAGATTGACAACCTGAAGAAGGCAACAGCAGATACTCAGAACCTCGTTCGGCAGATGATAGCATTTGGACAAAGTCAGGTCACTCATCAGACCGCT